CCACATAATTCTGAAGTATTACACAGGAACCTTATCACTTTGCCAGTATGGTACATGGTAGGAAAAGCATGCTGTGCTGTTATGATTAGGTCTCAGCGTTTTAGTGAGTCTTGTTTCTAGGTAGATACCATCACACACACCTATGTTCTTTATTCTTATCTTTCACTATCAAGGAAGGCAGGCTAGACGCCTTAGAAGGGCTATCTTTCCTCCTACAATTCAAAGGCGAGTGGGAGTTATAGTGTTTAAACAGTTACTCACTCCACTTCCTGTTCCCTAAGAGCTATGATTCTGTGTCATTGCAGTACTTGGGGTGGATGTTTCCTTCATGACGTCAACTGTCTGAAGATTCTGAGAACTGCTGCGCTTCCGTTTGTTTAGGTCTTTTCTTTTTGTAAGAATGGTAGTGATGACTTTAAACCCCTTTTGATGACAGACTGAGCAAGATGACCCCAGCTCTAGAATTATAACCATTTAAAATGCTGTTCCTAGAGTCCTTTAGAAATGCTAGTCACATTAATTCTCAATAATTGGTGAATAACTAATCTGAAAAAAGACTACTGAGTTAACAGTCATAGAATGAGAGTTAGTATTTATTGTGCAATTTTACCATGCAATATGTTATAATACAGGACATTTATATGCATTGCCCCATTTAATCTTTGTCATCTCAATACATATTATTCTCCTAATTTTTAAAAACAGGGGCAGCAACTAACTGCTCAGAAGCATAGAACTTGTATTCCTATTCAAGTGTTCAGGTATAGAACTTTATTCTTTTTGACTATGGGCTATTATCATCAACATTAAGATTGAAGATATGATTGGAAGGTTAGAATTCAGGAGAGGGAAGACTCCTTGGAGTGAGCTATTCTAGGTTTTTTGGTTTAGGGTAGAGGTAGGACTGATGAGGTTGAGGTTCATTCCCAATTCGTACTTGTGGTCTTAGCCATCTATTGAGTCTTCATATTACAGAAAACATGGGTTTCCTGAAGACCATGAAACAGATGAATAGATGCCTCAAGGGGCAGTACACAGTGCAGGTGAAAGGAGAGAAGTCATCCTAAGGGGTTGGGTTTTATCTACTCAGATATAAGTGATTTGAGGGTCAGAAGTCACAGACGGGCCTTCATCCACACAGCTGCTTGGTGGTTAATCCTCAGAATCAGGTGAAATATTTAAATCAACCCTCATGATCTTCTGGCCATGAGGAATGAATTGTGTGTTCCAAATGGCAGTAAATGAACCATGACTACCATAACAAATGGATTAAGTAAACCTTCCATGGGTATGAAGATGATATCTCTTAAGTAGATTATGAGTACAGGGGAGAAAAACTCCAAGATCTAAATGAGTCAGCCAACAGATTATTTCAAGAGACTACGTGAATAAATGTCTCTTTTGTGCATTCAACTCCCCCAGTCTAGCAACTACGTGCATGAGGTATGTGTATTCAAAGGAGGGCAAAAGGGAAAGAAAAGGGGTTTATAGACTGTCATTGGTTGTGCAAGGATATCTTATGAAAACCTGCTCCACGACGGGGTAGCCAGCTATAAAATAAAGCTGGATGTTAAAGAACTAGAGCTAGACAACATCTATAAGTCTGATCTTTACCAAAGTCTTCAAACTGATGCAGTTTATTTCAATAGGATTAGGGCCAATATATAGGAGGGAAAGCAAATCAGGTGAATATTTAAATTGTTTATGTATTTGAGTTTTTTGGTGGTTTTACCAACTGTTCTTAGAAGAACAGCTATTGTTCTGTGATCTGCGCACTTAAAATTTTTTCACTCAATGGTCTGTCACAATAAATCAGGGACGAGACAGTGAAATGTGGCAATATGACATGTCCACTAGGCAAGTAGGGGGCAGAAGTGGTATAAAGACATCATTAAACTTAGCAGCCAGTATCTTAGAGAAGAAATACTTCAGATAAGTGGAGTCAAAGCCTAGAAAACATCCGCAATTCTATATGATGCAAAAATAATTGTTTGAATAGTAGATAGCTGGGAACAGACAGAGAGTCATCCATGCGTGGTGATGCTAAAGATACTTTATACAGGTTCCTCCGATCAAAATACAGTTCCACGGCAGGGCGGTGGTAGTGCACACCTTTAATCCCAGCACTCAGGAGGCAGAGGCAGGCGGATCTCCATGAGTTCGAGGCCAGCCTGGTCTACAAGAGCAAGCTCCAGGACAGGCTCCAAAGTTACAGAGAAACCCTGTCTTGAAAAACCTAAATAAAAATAAATAAATAAATAAATAACTATAATTCCTCATCCACCTGTAAGATTAGTGTTAAGAGTGCCCTCTTCGAAGCCGTGCATATTCAGGCAGCTGAAGTATTATTTTACTGGCAGGTAGTTAGCCAATTAGTAAGGATTTATTTTTATCTGATTAGTCCAGTAGCAACAAGGCTTATTTAACAGGACAAGTGGCTCTAGAGAGATATGACCCAGGATTGGGAAGATTTAGAAATGGAAAACATTCTTTGCACCAGATGACAACTCTAGATGGTACTGCTGCCTAAGAATGCGATGAATAAAACCCTGCCTCTTGAAAAGAAAAAAAAAACAGCAACAACAACAACCAATAGGAAAAAAAACAAAAAAATCCAAAACAAGACAAGCCAACAACAAAAGACAAGCAAACAAATCTGACCTTTGTGTCATGGCAAATCAGATGATATTTAATATTATCGCCATAATAGGAAATGCAGAATTGAGACTTAAAGAAGTTGGTAAACCCTGAATTTCCACCTAGAGTTATCTTTACCCAAACCTAGTTTTCTTTTTCATCTTTCCCACATGGCCTTCAGAGGACTGAAGATGATCTGAAGACATTCTCACAAGCCGCGGTTTTACAAACAGACAAACCTACTTCCGCTGGATACAAGGAGTCATTTCTATATCTAAATGACAAGTTAGAAAGTACACACAACTCTCTAGATTTATCTCAAAGGACATGCAGAGATTCTAGCCTATTCATCAGGAACTATTTTTAAGTCCTCTACATATTTTAGCTTTTACTTCCTGCATGGAGGGGGCAGGAATCTGTGGTCAGTGAATGTAAAAGTCGTTGTAACTAATTACATATGGATTTTCCCCAAAATGACATTAGAAAATGAGGCCATTTATCTTTGAATAAAATAAGTGTGTGGGCTTTTGCCTGCCCCCACCACCTCTATGTGAGAGCAGAGCAGCTCAGCTTTCATTTTCCTTTCCTCTCAAAATGCCCAGAGGGACCATATTTTTGTTTAATGACCTTCAGAAAGATTCTTTAGAAATCTGAGGCTATCAGTGTTGGAAGCAATGCGAACATAATTGTGGATTATTGTTGTATGACGTTAGTGGCAGCTGGGCCGGTTTTTTTCCTCTCTGTTTAGACTTTTCTTCATTTTCCCAGAAACCTTATATCCCAAGGTTTAGCTCAGAAGCAAATCTCATATAGGTGATAAACCTTGCCAGACATGGTATGTAATATAATTTCAGACAGACTCTTAACTGTTCTTCAGAAAGACCCCAGGGTGTAAAACAGTCTTATATCTAGAGGTCCTCTGTTGTAATACTTTTATTTCCTCTCTGAAAATGTGTTTGGATAGCTATACTGGACATATCTCTTGACTATTATACTGATGAACTTAAGTGCCAATTTTTATGCTTTGTTGCCAAATCTCCTGCTAACAGGAAGAAAAAGTTATAGTGAAAAACTAATAAATGGGTACTTGCTCTCGCAAATAATTTATAAACACTTACAGGCACCCACAGCTGGGGACTGAAAATCAACACTGATTCCAACGTTTTGTGAGTGCTTGAAATATGTATACGGAATGTAGGGGTTAGGAAGAGTGGATGCAGATGTTAGTTACGTACTCCACAGTGGGGGAAATGGAAAAGTACTTTCAACTATTGTCCTCATAATCTGCTTTGTAATCAATTTTATTGTTGTCTCAACTGACAGACTCAGAATGTAAAAGACAAAGTCATTTTATCTGAACTGTTCAGTATTACTTTATAGCTGGCCACTGTGCTTCCGTTCTTGCTTTGTACCATGTCTGGTTACCAATTTAGTTGAAAATTTCTAGTTAGCAGCAGAGAGACCTGGAACACTATATAAAAGTAGTTAAAGAAAATCCCTAACCAAAGCTTCGTGCCTGAATAGTCTTATATACTTGGTTGCCACGTGTTTGTCCTTGATGGGAAAGTATTGTGCATTCTTTTCTTGGAAAGTCTGAAGTAGTAGCAAGACTCCCCCACCTCACCATAAGAAGAAAGTGACAATTTGTTTCAAAATAAAATTTTATTCTCTCATCATGTATCAATAATTTCACCCAATAAGTCACTGATTTCTCTGTGCTGTTACTATTGCAAAGTACATCTACATTTCATTTCATTTCTAATGAAATCCCGAGTTCTAGTTTTTTAGATTCTCTCCTCCAACTCTTGACCACAAGGAAGAAGGTTTTGAGATATAAATATTAAGGTTTATGTTTGTTTTCATTTTAGTTTTACAACAGAAAATATTTAATGAAATACTTATAAACATCACTACTAATGCAAAAGCTTGTTTTAAACGTTAAGTGATACTTCATATTTCCATCAAGTATGGTACATGGCCAAATGAACCATAGTCCCTTAAGACTCTTTGGAAACACCCATATCAGTTTAAAAAATTGCAAGACATTAAAGTGATATTTAGTAGCTCTTAACATTACTTTATGTAACTTTTATACTTTGGGAGCTTGTATGCTCTTCTGGTTTTGCTTAGAACCTCTGAAGTTCTCTTTCTTTTGGAATCAGGTTTGTAAATTGGCTCTTGATGTTGTAACTAATGATATTTGAACTGGACACAATACTTGCTTGGACGTTATTTAAACTTCTTAGTTACACATTTGAAAGACTATGTGGAAGAATAGAACAATGTAATTTTACCGTGCCAATTCTAAGACTTAGCAGTGCGAATATTAATTTCTCACGTACTTACAAATATTTTCCCTGCAGGAATGCAAGCCAAAAATGTGGAGAAGCATCATAATACAGAAGGGAAATGCTCTTCTCATTCAGGAAGTTCAAGAAGAAGATGGAGGAAATTACACATGTGAACTTAAATATGAAGGAAAACTTGTAAGACGAACAACAGAACTGAAAGTTACAGGTAGGAGCTGATTCTACCAACGTGTGACAAATGCAAGTTAGTTATGATTTGGTTTGATGGGAAAGAGTTATGTTCAAAGAGACAACACAACTTTCTGTGAATTTAGAATTGGCAGCGCATCAAGCTGTTGGAAACATCACTTTTAAGAAGTTGTACTGAATTAAAGATACATGTGGAATGTGTGATTGGAGGTCAAGGGCTCTTTGGCTGCCTGTGTGTTCTCTGCTGTTATGAAATATTCTTAATTCTTCAACCTGCCATTGATTGCCAGTGTAGAACTCTGAAGAGATATGCTGGAATCATTTTGAGATGTTGCCTCATGTGTATAATCCCCATCTAGGTGAAGGCTGCCTTTAAATTGAGATTCTGTTGGTATTTTGGAATGAAATTTGTTGAATTGCATTTACACACAATTCCTTATAAGTTAGGATTCTTAGATAAAGGAACTCCAAGTAAAAGTGCAAAAAAATAAGTAAGAATTCATGGGAGTATAAGAGACAAACTCAGAATAGTCTTACCTGACAAATATTTTAGTAATTAATTTTCAGCAACATAGGATGGAATATAAAACTATTATAATATTTCTCCAATAGATGTGGTACACGCCAAGAGATGGTGTGACAAAACTTAATTTTCTTTATTTATCTGCAAATCTTGGTTAATTTACCTGTTAGATAGTCCTTATCTAAAATTCTTAGGACCAGAACTGACTCATAGTTCTGATTTTTTTTAATTTTTAGAAAATTTAGATATAAATGATGAAACGGCTTGGAGATGAGATGTGGATATAAATATAAAATGTATTTGTATTATATTAATATATTTTATGTGAATATTACTGGTTATTTTAAATAAATATATTTATTTTATATCAATATAAATATAGATTAAATGTCAGTAATTTTAGATAGTACTTTCTTGTGATCTATTATATGATGTCAGATGTGAACTTTTTGTGGCATCATCTTGGCACTCAGTAAATTTTGGATTTTGTAGCATTAAGGACTTGGCATTCAGAATTTTCATTAATTGACTTAAGAGTAATGTAATTAATCATTACCTCTTAAATTACCTAATGGTGGTATCATCCAGTTGACTAACTAAGACATATACTTGCTAATGCTATTTTTTTAAATCAACTATTTTTGTTTATGTCTGCCTGATCTTTTAGGAATAGTATTAAAATCAGATGTCTTGATAATTTCTGTATTCAGACATATAACTCCTATGTTCAGGTAAATTTTTGATCCCCGAGTTTCAATCCACTAGTTTATATTCTATCTTAAATAATGACCACTTTATTTCTCATATTCAATTTGCAGAATACCTTCTATAAAAGCTCTTGTATAATTCTTTGAATTAGAAATGCATGTTCTTTCTCTGTATGGGTTTTTAAAGTAACTACTGTTTTAGGCTAATCCTAAGTAGCAAAGATCTGCTTTTGATTAGTTTCTGAGTTCTTCAATGTGAAGCAAACTTCCATGACACATTCATGGCAGAAGATTCAATTGCAGGCATATCATTAATAAGTGACCTGACCATGCACAAGGCATGGTCACTTTGACCATAACCACAGATTCTTATCAGATTCATACTAACTCTTGTGTTTGGTAATCGTTTATTAAGCTTTATGGCATTTTAGTATTTGGCTTGGTTCTAAGCTGAACTATAACAAAGCAAGCACCAAGCCTCCTTTACAGTCTCATCTAATGGATTTTGGTGAGAACAATTTGTGTCTTTAGATTTCATTCCAGATCCTGGAAAAACAAAGCTAGGGTTGCTTATTTTGGTCATTTATATCACTTTAATTTATAAGTGCCAAATTTCTGAATAATTGAACTATGGGTTTAATATTTCATTGGTTACCATGCAGAGGTTCTCAAAAGTTAATATGTCTCAGAGTCATGAGGAAGGACCCAGGAAGGGTAATATGAGAATCTTTCACTCAGATTCCCAGACTCTTCCACAAGATTTTAATTTAGGACATCACTTGCACAATTTGCCTCTTTTTTTGGCAATTCTCTTCTATACTTCTCACGGAGCAGGAATGCTTTGGGAAAACACAGGAGGAGAGAGTGGTGGTTTACTGAAAAAAAAAGGTCAAAATAGATTTGATTTCCTTGTACATATATCGTACAAATACATTCTCACAGTTCCCAAATCATTTCCTTTCATTGACTACTCAGGTGGTTGGTTACCAAGGGAAACACGGCAAGGGAGTATATGAACAAAGCAGCCTCAATCAATGAAAGCAGTTATGTATTCACTTCAAATTTACTAACTATGTACAACAGATCAAAAAATGAGCCGAGAGCCAGAAAAAAATCACTGAAAATGTCTTTCACTATTATTTTCAGGTCAGTCAGTGATATTCAGTCATATGAGAAGATAGAAATATTCAAATTTACTTAAAGAGTTTAAATGCAATTTTTGATGTAGAAACAAAGATGGCTTCTAGATAGAAAAGCTCGAGTTGCTATATGAAAACTGATTCTTTTTTGTAGTATTACGTGTCTTGTACATTTAGCATTATCAGAGCAATTACATTGATTTAATTCTCAGCATTCAAAATCCAAGGTTGGCATCATATTAGATACTAATCATACTTGTTTAGAATCTAGTAGCATAAAAACATGAGAAAGCAATTTTAATATGGAAATAACAGTGTTTGTTAATTATAAAATGATGTAGATTAAGGTAAGATAGTGTGTTACAAGCATATGTGTTTTATAAAATTATCAATTTTAAAAGGTTGTTTCCCAAATGTTCTTTTAAAATTTATGAATCTAAGAAAAGTGTCTTCAATAAAACAAATGTTAAGTGCTGGTTAATTTAAGTATATCAAGTTTTAAAAAGGCCCAAATATCAAAACATGATAAGTTAGAAAGTTAACCTTTGATAATGAAATGATTTCCTATATGAAACATTTTCAATAATATTTCCTCAAATAGCTTTCTTATTGTACGAAAACTGGATTTGTCTTAAATGCATCTCCTTGCAACACATTTATTATATAAATCAAATCGTACTTATAGAACATTGTTGTAAATTTATTTTTATTTCCTTTGAATGTCCATATGAATATGAATAAGTAATAAGACAGAACAGAAAATATACATAATTGCAAGTTTAGGTCATTTGCTCAATATGCCTATAGCTAATAGTTTTATTTCCCAAGGCCTATTTTAGGTGGCTGTGTGCTATTTTGTAGTATTTCCCCCCTTTATTCTCACTTTGAATTTGTGAAGAGGACTAGTTGAAGTAACCAGACCAGGCAGGAGATTTGGTTCCTAGAAGACAAAAATGCAGATCAGGTGATAATGGAAGATGTAGGGAAGGATTGAGAGAAGATGAGCAAGATAATGGAATACGGTCCCTGGGGTGAGAAGAGGTCTGCCCAAGGTTTCAGAGAGACAGAAATTACTAAAACCTCTGAAAATGAACAAAAGGTAAAATCTAGCATGAACAGACTTCTTCAACCGGTGAATCCTTCATAAACAAATGCTTTTGTGCAGCCTTTTAGAAATGAGCATTAGCCATTTAGGAAACAAACCCTATTAACCAGTTCTCTGGTGAATATGCAAATAATCAATACAAGGAAAAGTAGTTGGATGGCTGAATCCAAACAATGATTAGCCTCCCAATCAAATGCTTCTAGGATTCAGACAAGTCATATATATATGAATGAGTGACATAGACTGTCCCAGGCAATAGGGAGTAGCAAATTGTAACATCCCGCCATTTCTCACTGCTGTCAAATGAGAGTAGGGTCCACTATGCTAAATTCTTTGAAGTTATTTTCAAGAAATCCTAGAAGTCTATATTTTTATGTGGCAATCCTTGGATTGCAATGTACTCTATGGAGTACATAAATCATGGCTGTGGGCAAAATTGCATTTAGTAATTGTTCATTTGCGATCTTGCCTTAAGCAATGTTGTCCAGTAGGACTTTATTTTGTTTCATTTTGTTTTAGAAACAGTCTCACTTATGTAGCCCTAAGTGGCATGGAACTTACTATGTAGATTATGCTGGCTTTAAGCTCACAGAGATTCACCTATCTCTTCCTCCAGAGTGCTAAGATCAAAGGAGTGTTCCACCATATCTGGCATGCTCAGTATGACTTTTAAGCAAGCCACTATCTGGCTTGTTCAGAATTTATTTTCATCTCTAGTAGTGAATGGGGGCAACTTTTGAATCCTAGAGAATGTTGGAGAGAACGCAATAGGCAAGCTGAGAATAGTGCTCTGTAACTACTCCATTCATGGCATCCAATAGACTGGTTAATCCAACTGGAGAGTGAAGGGGCCCACTTTACACGTGAGGAATATTAACAAATTGATCACCTATAGAGAAGGGCATTTTAGATGATGAAGCATCTTGGTCTCGACGGTTAGAGATGAATGAAAAGCCCCAGGGATAAAATGTCGACCTTAGGTTTACCCTGAAGCAGTGTGATGAGAAGCACCTACAGAAACAAATCATTGGCACTTGTTCTCTCTCCTTCACGTTCTGTCTGAGCAGCCAATTGACATGATCTGAATGTGTATGTCCTGCTTATCACACAAAAATGGATTTCATTTGTACCTTTTCAGTGATTTAATGAGGGAAGACCTCAGCAGTCAATAGTTCTTGGCTGCATTAAAGGAACTTTCACATGACTGACCGTGCATTTCATAGCCGATGGTTCTTTTGCACAGGCGCGGGTGCAGAAATCTTAGGACCCAGACTGGCTTGTACCAGCTCCTTTGCCTTTCCTCTTAAACCTCCCTCTCCAATTCTGAGTAAAGCTAGCCTTTGTTGGCTCACAGCACATCCTGGATGGTGTTGCACTGACTTATGTGCTTATAAAAGCGTTCTTATGTTCTGTCTCATGTCCAGCCCATCCTTGCTTTGAGCTGCCACTACTCTAGTACCAGAGTGAACTTAGAAGTTTGTGACTGATAAGAGCCAACAATGTTTTCCTTCTCAAACAGCATATTTTCAGGTTAATAGATATTTC